CAAAGGCTTCAACTGTTACACCTGCCCAGGCATCCAGTGGCAGTGTTCCCTTTATATTTCCTTGTGTTTTGATAGTGTTACTTTATTGTTTGTGCAGAAGAAAGCTGTAACTTCATTCACTCCTAATTGCTTTTCCTGGTAGTTGCTTCATTTTTGGAACACATCCAGCTTCAAGAGTTCTTCTGAAGTTGTCGGAGATCAAAATTGAAATCCAGTTGATGGAACTTATTTTGCCATCATGAATTCAAATGGTTTTTATCTTGGTTTCAGGAAGGTGCTCTCACTGACTTCACCTGTGAGTTGAGATAAAACATTTAGAGTTCCTGACGTTCCAGTCTGTAAGAGTTTTGAAAACAAGATTTAGTCAAGAACTGAGACTCCTATTTAAATCCTGTCACGGGACTTAATTTCAATCCCTGAGAACACCTCCGTAGAGGGAAACATTTTACCTAATGAGGTGACTTGATTGGCAATTTATTTGGTTTATAAATATTACGGCGCAAGTTCTTTGTGTGCGAAGCAGAGGGTTCTGTCCTGCTTTGCTCCGGGTGAGTACAGCCTTTTGCTGAGAAAGCTTGTAAATAAATGCTGCTTTAGAGCTGACAGGGGAAAATGCATCCAGGATAAATTTGGCAACATGTTCCAAAAGTGCATCAACCAGGCTGTGCTGAGTATAGTCAGAAGATCTTCTTTTGTGTGTGATAGAGCCCATATGCAAGTATGTGAGAAAACCAGAGCACATCAGGGCCCTAAAAAGGAATTGGTCACATTAGCTCTGTTTATTCATGCATTTGTGTATGGGCTGTGGGAGCATCAGCTGGGACCAAGTCTCCTTCCTGGTTTCCTGTTTACTTGTTCACTACAATGGCAGTGTCTGAATGCTTCACAGGTTGCAGAGAGAAGGGATAGTGTTATCTCTGTCTTCCCCCAGCCCTGTGACAGAAGCAGCCTGTTTGGCTTGCTGACTCATTGCAGGCATCGAACCTGGGTGGCTTGGTGAGGGCACTGGGTGTCGCTGGCAGGGAAGCCTTTGGTGGCTCTTCTCACTGCTCAGGTCCAGGTCCCCTCTCTGGGAGCCTTCAGGTCTGGCTGATCCATCTGTAGTTGAAGGCTGGATGGTGCTGGTTGTCACAAGTAGTGCTGGTTACACCTGTGGGGAGCCGTGTGGGGTTGTGGATGTTTCCTACCTGAACAGGTCTCTCCTTTTGTATTTGGGGGTATGTGGCAGTGTCGCATTGGGTGCCGTGTGTGGCGGCTGGGCAGGCGGCCCTGGGCCGGGAGCCCTGCTGCTTCTGTGTGAGCGGCGCTGCTCCCTCCGCCCTCAGCCCTTGACCTACTGCGCGCCCCGGCTCGCTGGGCTGCTCCTCAGTGGGACTTTCTCACGGCTCTGTGTTACGCCGCTCCAGTTACGGAACTGGCTCCGTTTCTTTTTCCTTGTGCAGTTCAGAGTTTGCTGGGGTTTCTTCCTGGTTGCAAAAGCCGTTGGAAATGGGCAGAATCGTAAAAGCTTATCAGTGAGCAGGAACTCTCCCCTCTGGCTCCCCAGCTCTGTTAGGCATTTATTCACTCCGCCGACTTGTGACTCCGCGCAACATCTCGTGTTGCCACATCAGTCCTTTTTATTTACACCAAACAGCACTTTCCCTCTCTCCTGCCCTCGCTGTTCCAAGTTTGGCAGCTCTGGAGCCGAGCAGCCGGGCGGTGGCAGCACTCCATCTCCCGGGGGAGCTGGCGGCTGGCCGGCACCCGGAGCTGCGCTGGGATCGCTCACTCCGAGCGTACCCGCGGTGCTTTGCCTGGAGGATGCGGTGGGAGTGTTTGCTGCTGCAGCCAGCGACCCGCAGGAAGAATTCGTGTTGTGATGAGCAGAACAGATGCTGGCAGATGAGCGCAGCCATTAGCAAGTCCGGGATCCCTGCTAGTACTAAATTGGTCTTGTTCTTCCCGAGTAGCTGGGCAGAATATTCCTGTGAACTGTATCTGCCGGCGCTTTGCAGGCAGAGCAGAGTTGCTGCTGGCCGTGTGTGACTCTTGTTCAAATCCTATTGACACATAACATCATTTCTAAAAATGTTTGGCACTGATCTAATCATAGGCCCAGAGAGGCCGGTTACTCAAGCAGTTCATGTTTTTTTCACTGGAGCGTATTCTGTCAGACCTGAAAATAGAAGCCCGGTATTTTTTAATTGTTTTTTTTAGGTTTGTTTCCAAAATGTTGCAGCAGCAGTCATGAGGATGTGGATCTAGACAAGAAATGCCTGAAAACCCCTTTACCTTCCAACAAGGAGTTGGTAAACCGGCTTAACTGAAGGCACATTTCTCTTCAGAGGCCCTAAAATTTTTTCCATGCTTTCTTCTCTCCAGTCCATGTGTGTCTTTCATGGGATAGTGGCCTTGCTGCAGTGCTTCACCAACAGGAATCTTCCCTGAAGACTCAAGGGAAGATTTTCTTGTTGTTCTAGATCACTATTTTTTTTCTTCTTAATTTCTGCAGCTCCCATTTCGTGGTATTTGAAAAATTCCAGGAGGCTGAAATAATTTCCCCATGCAAATTGGTAAAGGATGTTTTCTTGCTAGATTTTGGCCCACAGAAATCCTGTGATAATCTGAGAAGGGCAGAAAAGACCAAGTCAAGGGAGGTGGTGCTTGGAGTCTAATCACTAAACTCCTGTGGATTAGAGCCGGGGCACTGTGCCAAGGCTATCCAAGCTCTATTCCTGGCCCTTTAAACCCCCCAGTTCCTTCAGATACATGTTTCAGGGAAAGCATCAGCCTTGCTGGTCAGTTTTCCAGCCCTCTGGAGCTAAAAAAGCATGGCTGTTAAATGTGATAAACCCATTTCAGGCTGGCATGGTGATGTTCCTGGGAAGGTGCGGGCCATTCCCACTGCTGTGGATGCTCAGCACTGGCAGAGTGATGCTTGGGAGGATGTTCTGCTGTCATGGGGAGGATGAGCAGACATTCACCCAGGGAGATGGCAGCTGGTGAATTCTCAGCATTGTATCCCTTGCAGGCAGTGGAAATTGCTCCCATCCTTTGCCTTTCTCTGCTTTGCCATGCTGCTGCTTCTCAGTTGCTCCATGCCTCGGCTGATGCTGCCTAGGCTGGAGGAGCTGGCCTTGGCACACAATGTTAGGCAGAGCTGGGGGACACACAGGTGTGTTACACACCTTCAGGGAAGGGAGCTGAATGCCAGTGTAAGGACAGACTTTACAGGGGAATAAAGCTCCTGTAGTTTGTGTTTGGTCTGGAAATCCAGTCCCATCTGTTCCAGATGTTTCCAGTTGAGCTTATAGCAAGGAGCTACTGTGCTGCTTTATAGGAAAAAATAATTAAAAAAATATGGGGTTGTGTCTTTACAATCACTGCAAACAGGCAAGAGTATCCATGGGATATGTTTCCTTCTGTTGCCTTAGAAAAGACGCATAAATAGCCTTAAATAATTTAATGGAGAGCTGAAGCTTTCAGGGGAGGCTGAGTGCTGGCTTGGAGCACGTCCCAGCCCTTTGCACCCGGCAGCAGCTGCTTGGGGAATGGCACCTTTCCTAGCTCAGGGAAATTTCTGCTTCAAATCCTCAGGCTCCTGGAGTTCAGGCAGAAGCAGCCTGTGTGAAGGAGGAGCTGGCTAAAGCTGTGGAGGACAACTTGGCAGAGGTGGGAGAGTGGCTACTGAGGTACTGCTTTTGTGAAATGGGACTTGGTACTTCCTTTTGTGGCCGAGTCTTATTTTTTATCTTCTAGTTAGGTAGCCAGGCATTGGCATGCAAGGTAGACACCCTAAGGCATTCTGGACTCTTGGTATTCATCTCTTCAGTGTTTCCTGAATTTGAATATTCCATTAAGATAATCTGCAGGTGTTTGCTGCTACTGCTCTCAGAGGATCTTGAATGGAAGCAATATGGATGGGAAGAAGTTTTGAAGGCCTTGTCTCACTCTGAACTGAGTTTGTCCCTATTCCCCTGAGGAATATAAGGAAAATAGGTTGTTTTATGCCTGATTTTTGGTATGAAAACAAGTGACCAGCTTGGTCTCAGCTGTATTAGGATAGAAAGCTCCCATGGCGACTGCCCAGTAGTGAGCAGCAAATGTGTACTTAGCTTCTAAGGAGATTATTTAACACAGTTCCAATTTTGTTTATTATTATTTTATTATTTTTGTATTTGCTTGTCAAGAGTGGATTTGCAGATGTAGCCTCGAAACGCAGGCAGGGTCTGATTTTGTGGGGGAACCACAGCAGCAGGAGTCCTGGGTGGCTCTGCAGAAGCACGGCGATGGCAGAAGTGTGGAATTAGGAGTCTCTGCTGTCCGCAGAGGCAGATCAGAGGTGGAGAGAAAAGGGGAGGGGAAGGACAGCAGTCACTAAAACCCTTCCCCAAATGGATGAATGAATGGGTGACACACATAAATGACTGCTGTGATGATCTGACTTACTGTAGCTCGGTCTCGGGATAATCCTCATATGTCAGATTTCTGTAAGGCCAACATGTGACACAAAGCCGGGCTCCCAGCAGACAAGTGTGCTGTGCTGCTCTTAGGGGCTGTGCTCGGAGCCCGTGGCCCTGTGGGGTGTGCCCGCTCCCCTCCCTGCGCCGCTCGCTCGGCTGGGCATCAGAGGCAAACTGCGATCCCACCAGCTCTCACAGACAGCCCCAAGCCTGCCTGCGTGGCTGTGCTTTTTGGAGAAAAGAGGAGGGGGGGAAAAAGCCAGACACAGGAAACAGGAAAGCCCCCAAAGACTTGTAGCTGGGATTACCTTGTTCACACCTGTCACCACTGATGTCCTGTCAAGGTCAGAATCGGAGCTACGTGAGGCCAGCTTAAAGCAAACGCCGTGTGAAAGGAGCTCTATGAAGGAACAGCAGGCACTGGAAGGAGGACTGGAGTGCCCACAGGAACATGAACAACAGCTTGCAAGTTAACCTGCCCAGGACTTGGGCTGGTTCAAACAGCTCACTCCAGGAGAAGTCTGAGCATTCCTTTTTTCTTTTCTATTACTATAGGATGGAGGACGAGGCAGTACTGGATAGAGGGGCTTCCTTCCTTAAACATGTATGTGATGAAGAAGAAGTGGAAGGTAAGAGACCCGGACTGCTGGGGAGGAAGGGTGCCTTTGCTTTGGTGTTTTACGTAGGACGGGTACAGTCAGAGGGCAGTGAACCAGGATGCCTTTGGTTTGCCGAGCACTTGGACCTAAAATTGACTGAGACATGGGTAGGCTTGGTCGGGTGGAAGTGACTTTTTAGAGAAATCCTCTGTTTCAGTTTGGGAGCGAATGTTGTTGCGCGCTGCTGGCACACGCTTCCACCTCCCCCAAAGTCCTGTTTGCTGTGCTTTGCATAATGGCTGGGAAGCACCAGAGCTGTTTGCTTTGCTTTCCTCTGTGAATAGAGTTTTGCAGTGCTTGCCTATCAGCGCTGCAGTGGTGAGCCTGGAAATGTGGAGGCAGGTGGAGAAGCCAAGTGGGAAAACCAGCAGAATGTGTACCAAGTGTCAGGGTGGACTTAAGGCAGGAAGTGAACGTTTGCCTGGGTTATCCTTTGTGCTCAGGAGGTATAAAGAGAAGGGTTTTCCCCTGAAGAAGAACTTTTTAACAGAGAAAACAGTTTGCTCACTTTGTAGGGAAACAGTAGGCTCCCTTGGAAGTGTTTCTGTTTTCTCTCTAACTAAAAATGTTGTGAAATCGCAAAGGTAAAAGGAATTTAAAAGCGTTTCCTTCAAGTTTCTTCCTGGAAAGTTATGAAGCTGATAGGAGTGAGTTAATGGCAGCAAATTCTCTTTTTCTTGTTTTCTGAGGATTGATTGTCTGTGGGCTTGATAAACTAGTGGGGGAGAAGAAGGAGAGAAGGATAGGGTAGGACTTTACCTAGAAGGGAGAGGATTTCACCTTGCAGAACTATCCTTCCCCTCCTGACTTCAGGATATAATTTTATTCTAACTTCTTTATTTGCAAACAAATGCCTGTGGCTTTTCGACTGAAAATGTGTTGAAAGGTGTAGAGTTACAGCCATGTCATTGTCACCAGTAATGGACAGGAAAGGATCCAGCAGTAGGACAGGAAATAGTCTCCAAAAAGAGGAGTTAGAACACTTCCAGCAAACCGAGCCAATCCTTTCCACCAAAAAGCCTGTGTTTTCTTCCTGTTTGGAATGAAGTAATCTGTGCTCAGCCACTATAAATCATCGTATTGGGTTTAATGAGGCTGTTTGCTGTCTGCAGGGTCAGGTTTGTATTAGCCTTTTGCTTGTGGAATAATTGGCACTTTGGCACAGCAGAAACATTTGAGAAGGCAGAGAGAGGATTTTTTTTATGTTTTACTGTCTTAAATGTTGCTGTGTGCTGTTTTGTGGTGTAAGGGCCACGTTGTGATGCTGCAGGAGTATAGTACAAGTGGTGGTTGGTGATGAGCGCAGGAGGGTCCTTCTGACTGTCTGCAGGGGATGTGGTTACTGCCTGCAGTACTGTTTGTGGCTGTGGTGTGTTGCTATCCTTTGTTCTGATGTGGATATCCTCATGGGGTTTAGCTGGGCTAGCAGAGCGGTTGCAGCTCATCTCGCGGGGGGAATGAGGAGCGGAGGTGAAACAAGTGCTTCTAATTGTACTCGACAGGCCTCTGGAGCTGGAGCTGCTGGGCCGAGCCTCCGGAGAGCCCCGGAGCTGTCAGCCAGCTCATTCCCTCGGGGCTGCTGAAGGCAGCGCCGTGATTCCTGCCAGGCTCCTGGGAGCAACCCAGCTAAATCACCCAGGATCCAAGGCTGAGGCATCTGCCAGGGTCACAGGGCACGTGTGGTGCATGAGTGGGTCGGCCAGGGAGCCGCTGCTCAGCTGCTCTGCTCTGTGCACAGTGGGACAGCCTGGAATTCTTGGCGTGCCTGGCAATCTGGAGCACTGCAGCAGTGCCTGTGAGCATTAAAGGCTTTGGCACTTTGGAGAGATCTTATTTATCTCCATGTTTCCAGCCTCAATCTCTGTGTGTCTTCAGCTACCTCTGTCTCTCCACAGTGATGTGTGTGTGTATCCAGTGTGTGCCCCAGGTGCAGTCATGGGCTGCATGTGTGGGATCAACTGAACTCTCACAGAGTGGTTGTGATTGGAACTGATCTCCAATTCCAGCCCCCTGCCATGGACAGGGACACCTTCCACTCCAAGGCTCCAAGGTCTGTCCAACAGTTCCAGGAATGGGGCAGCCACAGCTTCTCTGGGCACCCTGTGCCAGGGCCTCCCCACCCTCACAGGGAAGAATTTCCTCCCAGTATCTAATCTAACCTAACCCTGCCTTCTGTCAGCTTAAGATCCAGTGGAAGTGCTAAGATGTCAGGTTGCAGACCTTTGGCTGGCACTTGGTGCAGATGCTTTTAAGTCCCTGTTAGGTTCCTGCACTTACAGTGGGGTGTTTAAAAGGAGGCGAGTGTTTGTCAAGAGAGTTAATTTCACTGAAATTGAGTGGAGAGGAGATTGTTTCTTTTCCTTCTGTGAGGAGAAGGGGAGCTGTAACCTTTATCAGAAGAGATAGGGCAGTAGAACTCAGGGATTCCCTGGCAGCAAGAGTTAGCAGGAGAGAATAGGAAACTGTCCAGCAGATGATTATAATATGCCTTGGAACCAGGCTGCTTTTGCTGTTTTTAAGTTGCTTTGAATTCAAAGAGATGAAGACAAAATTTTGAAGGTGTTGGTTTGAGCATCCCTCTTTGGAGTGTTCTTCAGGAGAAGAGAGGAGCATGGCTCGCTGTGTCAGTGATGTCCACACGTTATGTCTGTGGGATGGAGATAGCAACTCCAACCACATCACCCACCAATTTGATTATGTAGTGCTGTGGGGGAGAGGGAAGGACTTGGCTTTTTAAGGAGGGGTAAAAAAGGGCATTTCTGGTCAGGAAGGCATTGAGACATTTTCAGGGTGGGACAATTGTCCCTTGTGCCCTTGCTGAGTAAATGTAGTGTTAACAGAAACTGTACATACCTGACAGAGGTATGTCCCTTGGGCTTGCTTCCAGGGATTGTTTAGTCCGTCCCTCAGGTGGCACCTCACCCTGGTCCTACACTGGAATGTGTTGCTGTGATATCAGCTGTTGACATTTGGAAATTACTCCACTGCAGCTCCTCCCTGCTGCCTGGATCCACGAGAGGGCTCGGTGGTGGATTCGGTGCATGTTAGTTAGGAGGAGTTGCTTGGCTGGAAGTGCCCAGAAACGTGACCTGGCGAGCCAGTGGGGTTTGCCCGAGTCTAGGGCAGAGCATGAAGGAAAGCAAGTACAAGTTGGCTTTCCTGGGGGAAATCAGGGAGAGGCACTGCCCTGAGCTGTGTGAGAGGACCCTTCCCATTCATTTAGAGCACTGCACGTTCCTTTCCTTGAAGGTAACGCTGGGCTGCTGTAATGCCCCTGTGAGGAGTGCTGGTATGTGTGACATAAACAGATTACTTAATAACCGATTTTGCAAGAGGGGAAAAGTAAAGCTCCACCTTATCCTGAGAGATAAGGTATTCTTGGCTCTCTAAGTGGAACTTCCCCCGGGCTCACTGCCACCTTGACTCTGTGGTGGGGTGGAGGATGCTGGATTTGAAGTCTGATGACTCCACTGCAAAGCCTGAGGAGCGCCCCAGCTCCATGTTTTAGGGAATGGGGAGCAGCATACCTGTCCTGCCTTCCAAACGATGGGCAAGCTAAGGGTTTTCTATAGCACCTCTCAGTCCTGCTGTGGGAGTGAATTCAGGAGAATATGCTGTTAGGGGAAACTTTTCCTGAGTCCAGTTGTCGTTTTGGCATTTACTCTGCAGAGTGCTCTGCAGAGAGGCTAACCCAGGGATTTTGTAACAATGTTCCATAACTACTTGTTCCATTTTAGCACTTTCCTCCTCCTTGCTTTCTATTCTGGATCCGGTTGTGTCATTGCACTTTGCTGGTAGAAAGCTGTGTGATGCCATAAGCCCAAGGTTAGTCCTTGATGGTTGGATCAGTGAGGGGAGAGGTTAAAAGGGCAGAGCTAACTGTGAACATCTTTACCTGTATTAACAGCAGGCTGGTGGTGGGAGAAATGAGCTGTATTTGCCCATATACTTGGATTTCTTTTTCTCCTCTCACCCCTGCCCTCTGTTTTTGATCCGTGACTGTAAGCAGACCCTCCTCCATTTTCAGAAGTAACCAGATGCCCTGTTTCATATCCACGTCTTTATTGCTTCTGAAATAAATGTGATTAAAAAATTAATCGGGTAAAATCTGATCACAGAATGTGCTCATTTATGTTCTTCGGTGCCTTTAATTTATATGTAGAAGCAAGCCAGGCTGTGTTTTGGTTCAGTAAAACTGAACTGGGCTTTACTCCTGCAAAACCAAACTCAGAGGACTGAGGCAGTGCCTTTGTGCTTTCTTTCCAAACAGCAGCTGGCACAACTTCCCTCTGAGGGTGCTGAGACCCTGGCACAGGTTACCCAGAGAAGCTGTGGCTGCCCCTGGATCCCTGGGAGTGTCCAAGGCCACGTTGGACAGGGCCTGGAGCAACCTGGGCTAGTGGAAGTGTCCATGCCCATGGCAGGGGCTGGAACTTTAAGGAGCTTTAAGGTCCCTTCAACCCTGACCATTCTGTGATTCTGTGAACTTGGGAATGGCAGGTGGAATTTGGAACCCAGTGCTGCCCCCACACAGCTAAGTAAAAACAAGACAGGTAGTTAGATCTTCCCAGCTTTGAAACACCCTGATGAAAGATTTCAGGTCTCCAGATTCTTTCCTTTCCAGCTTTAATTTCCCATGGCACTTTTCAGGAGAGTGCTTACCCTTGGCATTGTCCAGCAGGTCATTGCATGGACTCTCATTCTGGTCAGTGCTGCTGTCCTTGCTCTGCTGTCAGCAATCAGCATTGGCTCTGAGGGTGCTGGCTGGGCTGAGGATGTTTCTGGTGCTCGCCTACTCCATGCTCAGTGAGAAAGGCTGCAGTCTGAGTTCAGAGGCTGATAACTGACTTTACATAAGGCAGCAATAAGCTGGCTGTGCAGGCAGAAGTGGAGAAAACGTTCTAAGAGCAGCTGAGTCAATAGCTGGCATGGTCTGCCCGTGGTGAAGGAACGGTGGTGGTTGCTTTGCA